GAGAGAGAGAGAGAGAGAGAGAGAGAGAGAGAGAATTTTAATATTTATTTTTTAGTTCTCGGCAGACACAACATCTTTGTTGGTATGTGGTGCTAAGGATCGAACCCGGGCCACATGCATGCCAGGCGAGCACGCTACCGCTTGAGCCACATCCCCAGCCCTCAATGATGTATTCTGAATCTATAATGATGAGAAAAATTGTGATAAAAGATGACCCAGAGAAAGCTGCATTAGAACTCTCTCTCTCTGGAGATTGCTCCAACAAAACGACTCCTGTCTCATCTTTTCGCCAACGCTACTCATCCTTCAGGATTCCCTGGACCCCGCTAGGGCTGGACCCCGGCAGAAATGACAAGTCATCTTAAAGAACATTGAATATTTGTTGGTGTGTCAAAAATTTATATTGACATACTCTCAGTTAAAGTAAATGTACATTGTTTCTCTCTTCTCTATCTGTTGTTAAGACATTCTCTAATAGGATGTTACGTTCACATTCTGTCTAATCGAGGTTATTGTATGTATTTGCTACTATGGGTGGATATTTGATGTTTTTCCAATTCTTGCTGTTAAAATGATGCTGTTATAAACATTCTTGTACATTTTCATACACATTTGCCTGCAAGTTTGTTGAGTATATTCTCAGTTATAGAATTGCAGGTTCTAGGGTATATGTATTTAAAACAATAACAGTCAGTTTCAAAGAACTTTCCAAAGTAACTTCACCAATTTATGTTCTCACAAACAGTGTATGAGATTTCTGATTGTTTCACATACCCATACAACAGTTGGCACATGCTGTTTAATTTTAGCCATTTCGTCATGTGGTATTTGTCTTTAGTATCTTTTTAAAGCTTTCAAATGTGGAGCATCCTTTGAAAAGTTTAATGGTATTTTGGATTCTCTCTTTTATGAAAGGTCTGTTCTAGTCACTTGCCTCTGTCATTTCCTTTTAGATTTCTGTTGGGAGATCCCAAGAATATTCTTAGGACATAATGACACTATAAGGACACACAGGCCTCAGAAAAATTGTTTTGTTCACAGTTATCTTTATTCCAACACATGGATACAGATTAAAATCAGCAAAAGTAAGTGTACTCAGGACAAAGTCTAAGAGAAACCAGACGGAAGCTTCCAGATGTACTCTCCCAGTGGAAAAGCATAGAGATACACTTAATTCTTTCAGCAATGATGTAGGCAAACATAAAAAGTGTTAATCATCCAGAGGAACTCTCAAGTCCCCCTACCCCCACATCAGGTGGGACAGATGGACTAGAGTGACTAGAGCCAGCTATTTCCTTCTCACACATTGAAAGATTATTAGTGGAGTTGGATATTTCCCTTCCCCCAGGTTTTAGGCTCTGACGAACTAGTTTCCCCTGAGATAAACCTTGCTAACTTCTTGTTAACAAAGTGATCTGGTCTTAGCTTATTTCAAAATGTTTTTTTCCCCCTTTCCCTCTGCCAGAAGCACAAAGAGATTTTTTTTTTTTCTCAAATAGTGACTGTGAGAACCTGGTCAAGCTCCTAGAAGTGAGACTTAACAAAATACTGGTCTGTCCCCTATGACTGGGTTCCCCTGGAGATTTTGACTCTCAGACTTTGCACACTGAGTCTCTTGCAGTTCATTACTTACCATTCAGATTTTCCTACTTTGGCATTGGTTCTCTATGTAGCTTCTGCTACCTTGAGCTTCTGCTCAGGTAAGCTGCAACTCCCTGTATTCACCTGTCTCTCTCTCTCTCTGACCTTTTTCCCTATGTCTTCACCTCCCTTAAAGATCCAAGAAGTTGTTGGTTTTTTAGTGTGTTCAGTCTCCTTATGTGTGGAACCAGAAACAGGAAGTCTGAATGCCATTAGGAGGCCTGCCACTGATGCCCATTGTTTTGCCACCGCTATTGACAGCATCCTTTCATCCTACATCTTCAGCCTCTTCCCATCTTCTAGTACTCTCCTGAACATATTTATATTTCTCTGGTGTTGAGGAAACTCTTGGATCTTTTATGCACAGATATTTTATACAGATATTTTGAGAAGCCATTCCAGAGGAATATACCTCAACCATTGCTACTTTTTACACACATTGTGCTGGAAAGCTAACTTCAGTCCCCCTGGGCTCTGTACTTGGGGAAGTGAGGCACAACCCATATTTCTATGATGTCCTTGCCTCTGGAACACTGCCTAAAGCAATCAGCAGGCAGCAACACTACATTGAAACCCAGGCCTCTTCTTCTTTTCCTTTTTCTTTTTCATACTATGGATTGAACTCAGGGACACTTGAACAATGAGCCACACCCCCAGCTGATTTGCTTAGTGCCTTGCTTTTGCTGAGGATGGCTTTGTACTAATGATCCTCCTATCTTAGCCTCCTGAGCCGCTAGGATTACAAGCATGAGCCATGGTGCCGGCCTTTTCTTATTTTCCCCCCAATTTTTTTTCACAGCTAGGAAAGTGTTTTAACTCTCCATTCAGCAGAGAGAAAAATTAGCTTTCATATCAGGTATCTTCCAGACTTTATTTTTATGCATAACATTAATTCATATTTTTTTGAAGAAAATAAAGAACGTTCTTTAAAAGGTTATCTCTTACCAAAAAAATGGTAAGATTATTGTTTCTGATATTAGGTATTTAAATTCTATTAAGAAACTCCAATAGACTGTACTGATATATATCTCTGCCATTTTCCTTGTGAATATAAAACCACTGATTTAATGAACAGAGGGCCTGGGAACAAGGAGAAAATTGACAAGTGTTGTATTGAATATTCTAACTTAATATGTGAATAAACATACATAGTAAGAAAAAAATGATTGGATTCCTTTTTCGGCACAGGGAATTGAAACAGGGGCACTCCATCACTGAGCTACATCCCCAGTCCTTTTTTATTTTAACACAGAGACTCACTAAGTTGCTGAGGATTTTTCTAAGCTTCTCAGACTAATCTAGAACTTGAGATCCTCCAGTCTTAGCCTCCTGAGTAGCCAGGATTATAGGCATGTGCCACCACCCCCAGCTTATAATAATTGAATTTTAATAGGAATGATATAAGTCTTTAAACACAGAGTATCATGGTTCTTTATAGATTTTTTGGATAATATCAAAGATTTCATGGTAAACTTGATGATAAGCATCTAATCCATATAAAAAGTCTATATGATTATAGTAAGAAATAGTTTTATGATTAATAGGTTTGTGATTTCAGAAAAAAATGTGAACATCTTCCAGGTCAGCCAATAAGTCATTTCTACTACTCCAAGTTGTTGTTGTCACATTCATATTTGTCACATTGTACAATGGAGAAGTTGTCTAAAAATAAATGAATAAAAAAGAAAAAAAGAGTTTTCACAGAATATAATACATTAGAAAGTCCTGTTTATTAAATTATTGAATGTTTTAAAATAAGTTTAATCTGGTGGGTTAAAATTAATGAATCTATGGAAGCAAGGAGATCTTACAATTTTTACTCAGAAACAAGCATAAATCAAAGCTAGATAATTTACTTTTTATTTTATTTGCTTTATAGTAATGGGGATTCAACTCATGGAAGTTCTACCACATCCCCAGCCCTTTTTGTTTTATTTTGAGACAGGAACTTGCTAAGTTGCTGGGATTGTCCTTGAATCTGTGATCCTCCTGCCTTAGCCTCCAAAATTGCTGGGATTATAGACATGTACCACAACACTGAGCTAATAGATTGTTTTAATTTAGAATATTCAAAGATTCACAGAGGTAAGTTCAGTATTTCTTATAAAGCATGGAAGTATTTTGAAGGTATTTGAAAGCATTTCAAATTTTCTGTGACTGTATTACTATCTATTTGTTTATTAATAAATTATAAATATTGGCAACCAAGGTTAACTCTAATCCCATTGAATTTGATTTTAAGATCTTACTTTAGACTTTTTCATATGAGCAGATTATATATGGCCCAGAATTTAGCTGAGGCAGAAAAGTGTAGTAGAAAAGCAGAAACTCTGAAGTCAGACAGGCTCGGTTTCTGATATTTCAAAAATTTTGTCATCACACTTACACAATTTTTACCATGTTCATTGAATTCTAAGTTATTTCTAATTATTATATGTATTTGACCTATATTCCCAAATAGAATAACTGGTTTTAAGGTCATGAAATACATTATGCATTTTATCTCATATTTACCAAGTACAGAGTTGTGCAAATTATAAATACATTAGTTTTCCAGACAAAGGATGATGAATTCTTCTACTACTCTCAACTTCTCTAAGTTTATCCAGGATATTTCCTATTAAGATATGTAAAGGTATGGAAAAGATGCTTTGATTGGATGTAACAATATGATTCCAAAGCAATATGATTTTCACTTGCTGGTCTCACTATGTAATAATAGTCTGGAGATTCACAGATGACTCTTATCTATAAGAGGATCATCTGAACAAAATGTGAAGGGAGACAGTTTTGGAATAATGACATACTTGATTAAAATGAAGAAAGTTCAGAACAGGACTGCCCCAGTCATAAGCTTTCAAGTGGTTAGAATGCAGAAGCAAAAAAAGAAAAACAAAAATAAGAAGACATATACATTTGTTCATTATGGTGGCAGCTGATGTAAATTAAGCATGCATTGCATGATTCCCCTTTGTACTGGGTCTCCTGATATTTATGAAGGGAGCTTCTTTCTTTCTCTATTCCTTTGTTAAGTGTAAAAAATAGAAAGGGTGGAGATGGGGACAGGAAATCTAAAGATGTGAGTCTATCATCTTCATACAAATGCACATATCCCCAAAGTCTTTTACTTCCCCAAAGGGGCCTATGTGTTTGGAGTAATCTTAGGTTTCCTCAGAAATCCTCAGCTTCATCAATAGAGGTCAAGAGTGAGTGTCTTGCACTGGGACTGTGACACCTCTCTAAACAACCTTGCCTCAAGCAACAGGACTCAAGAGTGTGTCTCAGAAGCTGTCCCTTCCTTCACTCCTAAACACTCTTAACCTCACCATTAACATTGGCTTTGAGTCTATTAGATTCAATTTGATTGTGCTTACTTTCTCTTACTGTTTTCATCACAAGAATGTTACACTCTCAGGTTACTTATGATCTGCCGCGTCCGGCTAACGGGAACCGAGTCCAGCGAGGGACAATGAGGTTATGAAATACACAGGACACCAAGGTTCTTCAGCCAGGAGTCTCTCTTTATTACTGACGTCCTCCCCTTATATCCCCCAAGTAGCAGGAGTGGAAAATTACTCAGAAAAGGGAGGGAGAGGGGAGAAATTCGGCTACGACATCTGCCATTGTTAGACACCGAAACTTCTCTTATCAGGGAGTCCACCAGAGCAGAAAAAGGTCAAGACGTTCCTGACATTCCTGTGGAGCACATATGTCTCAGACAGACAAGCAGGAAAACCACAAGCCTGCTTTCATGGCCTAGTGAGCTGGCCACTTTGACATGCATAACAAGGAACTGGGGGCTGGGTCTCAGGGGCCTGGGAAAGGCCTGCTGGCCTGCTACCAGCAATGATCTATGGATTTCTAAACCTTATATGGCTCCATATAATTCTTATTCTAACTCTTCTCAACTCTCCTTTACTCCTAAAACTCTTATTATCTGGAATTCCATCATCACCTCTGTATCTTAAGCCTCTCACTGGCCTCTTCACCTTCCTGCTCTACTGACAATCTGGTTTTTCCTGAGAATGATGCTTCCCTCATAGCTCCTTCAAGTGGTGCAACTTTTTTTCCCCCATATACCAGGGTTCACTGGACCTGAGTGTTAGGTTAATCCTCTTTGTTCATTATTTCTTCTTTTAAATTATTCTCACTTCCTCCTCTCTAAGAAGTTTCCTTCAAGCTCTGAGTATCATACCATTCAATTATATTACTTACTTTTTTTTTTTTTTTGCTGTTGTGATCATCTATTAAACTACAGGTTGTTCTGCCTGTTTAGTTCCTGCTTACTGTTACTCCCTCTGAAACTATTCCTGCCTTAAGTTTTAGCGATTTAATCTTTCTCACAACCTCATTTTAATTCCTTGAGCTCTTCACCTCAATGATCTTGTCCCCCATCTTATACTAACCATTCACCCTGTGACCTTATCATAAACCTTTATAATACTGCAGTCTTTGCATACTCTATTTTTATCCATTCCATTTTCTAAACATCATCTAATTCTCCCTGACATATCAATGTCAAAAATTCTTTAACATTGCCAAGATTGTGCATCCATTCATCTTTCCAACCTTTTATTATATCTTACTCCTTCCATGTATTTTCTTTCCTTCTTATCCAGCTGAAATTCCATAATCAATCATTAAACTTATTCACTTATATTTATTCAACACTTTTCTATTTGCATTGCATCATCCTACTGGCTTCACACAAAAAAGAAAATTGTAGAAAAATCCAATTCCTACACACTGTATGCCTATACTAATGAGACTGAACAAAACTGGAGGAAAAAAAAAACTAAGCACTATGCTTACTGAAGTCACTTCAAATTGATGATTGCACACATCATGCAGGCCATTAGTCTTGCCCAGCAATCACACCATAATTCCCTCATCCATTTCCTTGTCCACGCTTCTGGGCAATTATGTAATACCTTCTCTTTGCTCCACTGACTTCTACTTTCTTTTCTATCCATACTCTATTTTATTAAAATGCACTTTCCCATTTTGACAAAAAACGGCAGCAATCATAAAAGTTCAGAGACTTTTACTACATCAATATACTTACCAGCAAATGAAAAAGGGATATTATCTCTGTTAGCTCAAAAGCTTATCTATTACTTGTCTACTAGATGACATCTATCCTAGAATTCCATCTCTTTCTCTCTTCATAAAATTTCTCCTCTTTAGTAGGCCATTTTCATTAATGTAAAAACCTCCTGTTAATTATCTCAGAAGATAGATTCACTTCCCCATTTCTTACCACAGCTCTTGACAAATATTTTTATTCTCCTTTCAGCAAGATTCTAGAGAAGGGTTTCCACCATCTCCACTTTCTCTCCTTAATCATCTTTTTAAAGATTGTAGTAAAATACACATAAAATAAAATTTATAATTTTAACCATTTAAAGTATGCAACTGAATGTCATTTGTCAAATTATTGGGCAACCATAATAGCAATCATTTTAAAAATCCAATCTAATTAGTCTTACATCTCCATCCAGTAATATGCTAGAACCAGTTTCTATTAATAAGATTTAATTATGGGCATCTTTTCCCAACTTTAAGTACAGTGGTGCCGCATTGGTTAGTTAAAATCAATCATGACAGGAATAACCCCACCACAGAAACTGACAAATGTTACTTATCTCTCCAACCCTACAAGTTATAAAATATTTACCAGCACACACTACTTATATCCTTCCACCAAAAGTGTTCAAGATAACTTATAATCTTGACATTTATAAAAGCTTGGTCAACTCCAAGGAATTCTGCTGTATTACTTATCAATGGCATCTGATACCATTGTTCATTCCTTCATACTTGAGATCTTTCCTTAACTTCTAGAGTACATTGATCTTCATATTTTGTTGACTGCTTCTTTTCAGTCTCCTTGGCTTTCTTACTTACTCATTTCAGCTGCACTTGTTTCTTAAGTGTGCTTCTCTTTGGCTACTCCCTCTCTCTGTAAACCCTGTCCCCCATGCTATGATCTAAATCTTTATGTCCTCCCCAAATTCATATGTTGAAATTTTAACCACCAAGGTGATGGGATTAGGTGGAGACCTTTAGAAAGTGATTAGGTTCATGAATGGGATTAGTGCCCTTATAAAATAAGCCCAAGGAAACTTTGCCTCTTTCACTATGTGAAGAAACTACTAGGAAATGCCATCTCTAATGGAGAAAGCAAGCTCTCATCAGACACTGAATCTGCCAGTATCTTGATCTTGGACTTTCTAACCTCTAGAACTGTAAGAAATAAATTTCTTCTGATTATAAACTACCAAGTTTACTCTAGTTGCATTAATGAACTAAGAAGACATTTCATATTGTCCACATTGTCAATTCCTTCACCTCCTTTAAATCATTTTTCAACTGTCACCATCTTACTGAGGCCTCTGAGCCTAATCTCTCTGTTAAAATGTATAATCCACTTATAAGAATGCCTAATCCTTTTCTCCTATTCCTCCCCATTTCCTATGATGTCTATCCCCTTCTATCATATAAGGATAATTTACTTACCTGCTACCTTATTCTTTTTGTTGTTGTTGGTCTTTCTTTCTTTGGGCGGGTGGTGGAGGTGTACCAGGGATTGAATTCAGGGGCACTCAACCTCTGACCCATATCAACAGCCCTATTTTGTATTTTATTTAGAGACAGAGTCTCACTGAGTTACTTAGTGCCTTGCTTTTGCTGCAGCTGACTTTGAACTCAAGATCTTCTTCTCCTGCCTCAGCTTCCCAAGCCACGGGGATTACAGGTGTATGCTACTGCTCCAGACACTACTACTACCTTATTCTTTTTTTAAAGATTTTTTTAGTTGTCAATGGACTTTTACATTATTTATTTATATGCAGTACTGAGAATTGAACCCAGTGCCTCTCACATACTAGGCAAGTGCTCTATGACTGAGCTACAACTCCAGCCCCCTACCTTATACTTTATTTCTTGTGTATCAACTACTAAAATGAACACAAGCATCTTTGTTTAGCTCACTTGTGTTTCCCATGAGTATAGTAAAATATAAGGTACATTGTAGGCACTCAGAAAACCTTATTATAATGGATGAATAAATACAAAGATTAATTTGATTTTCCTGATGAAGCAAACATCGGGGTAAACAAAATTTAAAGATAAGTTATAATGAATATTTATAATGATTACATCAAAACAATTACTTCATAAATGTAAATATTTTGTAATTGGAAAAGTTTTATCTAATATCTTAATAATACTTTAAATTTTTATAGTGTTTATTAGCTTTAAAGAACTTTTATAATCATCATTCTATTATAATATTTTTGTTAGGTTAAAGAGTGATTTCATTTTAAAAATCAGGAACTTATTCAGAAAGGTTAAACCAATTATTCAATGTTACCCTCCTAGTAAGGTTCAAAGAAAAAAATTAATGTTTGGCTTTTTATTCTAAGCACCTCTCACCCAGCCAGAGAGGTAACTCAAATCATGTGCGAGAATGGCCTCCCACAGTTGCACTTCAGAACTCTCTTCCTGTGAATTATTGAGAAGCCTATACTCAGGCTTTTTAGCCTTCAAATTTGTGGGTGCCCCTTCTAAGCCAGAAGCTGATAGTGTTATAGAGTATAATACAGCTGCATCCTAAGTTTTCTGGAACTGTATCTAGAAATGAACAAACTTCACACATATAGAGCAAGAATAGTAAGAGTTATAGTATAGTTAATCTTGAATTGGTCCTCTTGAGCCTATCAAGATATGCAAGAAAAATAGGATATGTTTTGTAATTTCTTTTCTGGGGTCAACATGAAAAACCCAAAGAGAATCTTGTAGCTTGTACAGAGGCAGTGAGGGGGGTCAGCCCAATGTCACTGATATGGGAAACCAACCAAAGAGATTTGACAGCAAGCAATATAACTATTTCTTACAAATGACAAAATGTTAGAACAGAAGAATAGGGACCAT